GCCTTGTGGCTCATCTAGACCGGAGAACGTCGGGGTTAAATGGGGAACAATACGGCTTTCGTAGGGGGCGATCTACCTGTTGCACAGGTCAGATCGCTCTCTACGGAGGCTGCTCGGAGGAGCAGAGTGGCGTTGGCGGTGTCCTTGGACATCGTTTCTTTGGATGTAGATGGGATGTAGATGGGATTTGGATGTAGGGGCGGCGGGACGACGTGTCGTCGAAGCATCCTCCCGGTGTGAGACGATTGGCTCGACGGAACGTGCGTTCTCCTCACGTACAAGGTAATGCAGGTGCTCTCCGGACATGGTTGCTTCAGAGAGTACCTGCATCGAATTAGGAGCAAGCCATAAATCTGGATTTAAATTTTCTCCCCTAAAAAAGTGTAAGCTGCTGGTATCGTATGTCATTTTAGTTCCATTTAATTTTAATAAATGGTTTGTAGTGTGAAGAAATGTGTGAAAGAGAAAAAGTATGAATACGAGAAACACACCGTTGACGTGGAGCGTTTTTTTTTTTTTTTTTTTTTTTTTGAAAAATAGAGAATCGAGCGAGTGGATAGAGTCGTGAGAAAGCATCAAAAGAGAGTTGTTAAAAAAGAGTCAATTGTGTTGTTTGAAAAGAATTAATTGTGTTGTTAAAGAGAGTAAAATTTATTTGAATTATTAATCTGTGTTATTTGTCTTGTCTAATTCTTTGCTGTTTAATCACCATTATTATTATTTAATAAATATCATTTATATTTTATCTCTACATATTATGTTTTCAATGAAAATCAAAATCCTTCAGCACTCCAACAATAATCATAGAAAATACAAAAATTAAATTCGGATAACATCAACTTCTTGGCCTCATATTCGATAAAAAAAAAAATTAACCTAGAGTCTTCACTTGAAATACCTAAAAGATGAATGCCGAAAAAGATTCAATCTTATTAAAATACTAGCCAACTGCAACTGCGTCAAGACACTCTCTTGAAATCATACCGAGCATTAATCCTTCCCAAAATTGACTATGGATCAATCGTTTACAACTCAGCTAAGAGATCACAACTTACAGATAATCGACACGGTCCATTTAGACTAATCACAGAACAATATCGCACCTGCCCAACTAGCAGTACTTTGAAGCCAAAGAGATGCCACTGCAACTATGAAGAAAATACCTCAGTATGAAATGTGTAATAAAAATGTCCTCAACCTCTAAAAATCCCACCTTCTCGATTAAAAATTTATCGTTAGCTAAGGGAACAATGAATAAAACTTTAAAATGCTCCTGATGCGAACAACGAAGAAAATAAATCTAAACAAATTGGTATTTACATGTATCTCTCGAATGATCGAGAAAAGAAACGTAAAAAATATTCACTGTAACGACAATGAACAAATATTTAAGAGTTACAATCACAAATACAGTTTCTTGACCACGCATAAGTAATATAGTAGAAAAAGCTAAAAAAAACATTAACAATGCTGTCAGATTTGTTGGAATATGTACTCAGATATCGTAGGATGAACACATACAACCATTATATGGTCCAGAATTTCATATATAGGAGGATAGTAATATGATGGACCGCATTAGAAGACTTCATTTCAAAGAAGTTGCTTGGTTAAAATAACAGGCGTATTCGACATTAGGAACTCTTTTAAACATAGCCTCCTTAGAAATCAAATGCAAAAAATACGCGTTATGTGTTGCCAAAAATCTATGCAGATGGAGAGTTTCGCAAGAAACAGAACATGGACATAGTAACACCTTATCGAACTATATCAGACTATCATTTACTTTACTTAATGATGGAATGACAATTAAATATAAAGTTCAACATACAGTATGTTAAATATACAAAATAACTATAAACTCTCGAGAAAAGTGAAAAAATAAAAATAACAACTGCTTGGACAAATAATGTCTAGATCTTCTACGTAGATGGTTGAAGAATAAATAACTCACAGACGCTGCAAGAATGAATCCAATTACTTACAAAAAAGAACTAGTACATCTTTGCATAAATTATTGTCTTGGGAATAAAATTGAACGTCACAATTCTATTAAACAATCACGCTACATTAAAGCTAAATATAAGCAAGTATATCTTTCGTACAAAAGAAATCTATGAATGCTCTCTGCCATCCAATAGCTAGGAAAACTAAGATTCTCTTAAACCGAATTCCTGGACATATGAATATCTCGAAAATTGAAAGACTTTCTCGCTAGAAAGGCAACAAAACAGCTTTCAATTAATCCTTAACCATTCGCTCCAGTTAGTAAAGCATTATTTCACGTTTTAATTAAGATATGAGTTAAAAAAGAACAACAAAACACTCCTGGAACTCCTGAATAAACTTTCTAAGAATATAAGGAAAAGCGCATAATTAAATCTTCGTTCACAAATAAACTGCTTAAATAAGCAAGAAGTTAAAAATGTAACATTATTACATGCGTCGCTAAATTATCTGTTAAAAAACACGAAACAAATGGAACACGCTGAATGTAAATTTTGATGCACTTTTTACAATGCGTATTGCGCAATCATATATTTATTTTTAAAAATTTTCATAAGAGAAACTGTAATTTTCAAGTACTAACTTTCAGTGAAATTACCAGATATGTCGTTCATTGCTTGAGTTATAATACCCATATTTTCTTCTTGAACATAATTTGTATCCATTGAATGAATTTTATCACTTTTTGTCTGTACATAAGCTAGTATAATAGTAACATTGTAACCTACAGAAA